TTGTCTTCCATCATCATCGGTGAGTTTTGTCTTGATCATCCATCGACGCGCTTTCGGTTTCTTGATTTGATATGATTGTGTACTCCCCTGTTTTTGTTGTTTGTTTGTTTGATGGGTTTTGCTAAAAATTTGATTTTGTTGCTGGGTTTTTTTGTTTGTTTTGGATATAATTGAGATGCGTGGGGTTTTATTTGGGACGATCAGGGGTTAAGGGGTTTTGCGATTTGGGTGCATTTGATTGGGGGTTTTGGGATTGAGTTTGATGCTTTGATGTCTTTGTTGGAACCCAATTCTGGTTCTTTTTCTGTTTGGGATTTATCTTTTCATAGGATGATTCTTATGGGTTTGATGTGGTGATGATCTGGGCTGTCGAGTTTTAGATTGATTGATTTATGTAACTGATTGAATATATTGGATCATATTCTCGTTTTCCCACAAAACAGAGTTATTTTTGTTGCACGTGAGTTGTCAATTCTTGGATCTTTATTAGAGAGAATTTCTTGATGATAATGAATTTGGGGTTTTAGTTTGATTGTACGAATAGATGGAGAAAAAAAACATGTACCTTTACTCAGATCTTCTGTGTTTTGTTCTATGTAGCAACATTGGATGCCGATAATTAATTATCTATGTTTTCTTGTTAGATCACCTATTTTCCTTTGATTCATAAGGGGGGAAATGCATATACTAATAATTCTACAATTTTCTATTTCTTTATATTTTTATACTTGAACTAATATGATAACTGAATTAAATAGTCCTTGATATAAACATTGGTACCTTCCGATTTCTGATCAAAGCATAAACTCTCTTCTTGAAGGACTAGTTGGTGGATCTGCATTGTTAAGGAGACCTGGCTACATTGCACATTCATCAACTCTATCAATTTTCCTCCTAATTAAGTTATGGAAGGAGAAAGAACTACGGAACCTGAAATTGATGAATTCGAGATGCTTCTTGGAGAAATCCCTGCAACACTAGGGAATGCGAACGATGAACATCCTATTCCTGATGAGATTTTGTCGGTTCTGCAAACAAACTCAATAGGGGAGAAGAACAAATTGACATCTCCTCCTTCGAGCAAATTCATTGACTTGTACAATTATGATATGTCGTATGACCAAAAGCTTGATAGTCTAAACAACGGGTATGATGCACGTGCATTGAATGGTGAACGAGATCAGCCCAACTTGCGTGATGATAAATCTCTGGTGTATGCATTTGAGGAATTAAGCTTTAAGAATAGGATATTACCAAAACCCACCAATCCTTTGTTGGAGAACTATGATCAAACCTCCCCAGTTCAGTGTTCCTTCAACAATTCAAGGACTCTCTTTGGTCTAGATTCTTTAGAAATGCCTCTTCCATCATTGCATCAACCTGTGACTGGAAATTATACCGGATACAATGATCTTGAACTGAAGAAGAAAAAACCTGAGATCATATCGAAAGACTTGGGAGGCCATCAGCAAAGATTTCCAGTCTACAATGGAGCTATGCCCTTATTAAATCCGAGACTGCAAGCATATCAGCAGCAATTCCTTTTGGAGGAAGAAAGGTATCCTAGATTAGAGCAACAACACTTACATCAACAACAGCTCCACAATCACATTCACGGTGTACAGAATATGAATTCAGCTATTAACCCTTTAATTGAAAGTGGAATACAGTCCTACTATGAGATTCCTAGAGACCCAAAGTCATATTGGAACAAAGATGTTACTCATAGAGGATACACACAGTTTGATGTTTCTGCAATGGGCGGTGGCCTTCATCAATACCATCTTCAGAGTTCCTTTGGAAGAGTCGAGGGCTGTAATTTTCCTCATAGATCCCAGCTATACAGTGGCAGTGGTGAAGATTTCTCTCAACAGGAAGTTTTGCTCAAAGTTGGGAAACAATACTCTCCTGAAAAAATTTTGACGAGATCACATGGGGTGAATTCATTGAGAGATCTTAGATCTTACTCTACAATTAATCAATTGACACCTAATTCAATGTCAGTTCAGGTGAAATTCAATTCTCTGGATGAAGTTACAGGGAGAATCTACTCTTTGTCAAAAGACCAGCACGGTTGCCGATTCTTGCAGAACAAGTTCACAGAAGGTAGTTTGGAAGATATTAATAAGATCTTTCTCGAAATTATTGGTCACATTGTCGAGCTCATGACGGATCCTTTTGGGAACTATTTAGTTCAGAAGTTGCTTGGTGTTTGTAATGAGGATCAAAGAATGCAGATAATTGATGCCATTACCACAGAGGCGGGCTTGCTGATCAAAATCTCATGTAATATGCACGGGTATGTGTTCTTTCTAGCATAATTATATGAACCATGAGAATTTATTGTGTTTGTTTCTTGATTGCTTTTCTCGCCCAATGCAGAACCCGAGCAGTGCAAAAAGTGATTGAAACCCTCAAAACAACTGAGCAAGTTTGCACAGTAGTTTCCTCTTTGAAGCCTGGTATAGTTTCATTGGTAAAAGATGTCAATGGCAATCATGTTGCACAACGCTGCTTGCAGTACTTTTCTCCTCAGCAGACAGAGGTAGGCTTTATTTTGTGGATCACGTGACTCAGTATGATACTTTGTGTTGAACCCTATGTTATCCTTCTTCCACCTGCCTTCAAAATACTTACATAACTTCATTTAGATCCATATTCTAACTGATATTTTTGCCCTTCCCAAATAATTGTCAAGTGTTTCTGTGTCAGTTTTGGTCCCTGAAATGGAGTGCCTTAGAGTGATGGCTCCCTATTGTAATGGCGAAAGAATTAATATGATTGCTATAGTTGGATATGTGCTTAAATTGATCCTCATCTGAAATCCTACAATCAAGCGTGTGCTGACCTTCAAGAGAATATTTTGCACATTTAGCTCTTATTCAAACTCACCTTATTCAGTATCCTTGTGAGGTCTGAAATTCACGGTAAATGGATGCTCATATGAAATTGTCATATGCTTCAACATGCAATATGACAGTTGCAAAATGATTAATTTAGCTAAATTTCTCTTTTCTAATCGTGGATTCAATGAAAGCATAATTATGATGCTTCCCTTATAAATAGCAGGTCTGTCAGAGAACAACCAGCCACTTCTTTCTATCTTCTATCTTTTTTAGCCTGGTTGAATTTTGTGAATTGCAATAACTATTGTTTGTGATACTTCTGAGGAGTATAAAAATATGCTTATATTTCAGGCAGTGCGGAAAAACTAACTTCACCTTGATTATTTTTAAGTTTAAATGACACATAAGAGGTTATCTCTGTTGCATTATACATTGAACACTCGAAAGTATGAATCTTCCTTTTTTTCTTCCTTTTTTTTACAGTTCCTCCTTGATGCTGTGGTTTCTCACTGTGTTGAGATTGCAACGGATCGTCAAGGTTGCTGTGTGCTTCAAAAGTGCGTACATTATTCATATGGTGATCAGAGAAAAAGGCTGATTTCTGAGATAACCTCTTATTCCCTTGTTCTTTCTCAAGATCCTTATGGGTAATCCTTGTGCTCTATGCAATTGTGCATATAGATTCTTTTCTCTCTCTTATAAATTTAATGCTCGGAAATCTTGCAGAAATTATGTAGTGCAATATGTACTTGATCAGAAGGTCCCATGGGTAATCACTGCTGTAGTGGATCAATTAGAGGGGAATTTTGGTTTTTTATCAATCCAGAAGCATAGCAGCAACGTGGTGGAGAAATGCTTAAACCTTGCAAAAGAGGAAGATCGTATTAAAATCATCAAGGAATTAATGAATTCTCCCCTGTTCCTCCAAATACTACAAGATGCATATGGAAATTATGTCATTCAATCAGCTTTGAAGCTATGCAAGGTAGATGCATATGGAAATTATGTCATTCAATCAGCTTTGAAGCTATGCAAGGTATATTTGTAGGGTTATTTGCTGTCTTAGACTTACTACCTGGCCTGTATCAGCTTTGAAGCTATGCAAGGTATATTTGTAGGGTTATTTGCTGTCTTAGACTTACTACCTGGCCTGTAGTTTCATTATTACAGATAGACCCCCTGGGTCAAATTTTTTGGACTCTATTACCTCAGATGAACTCACTAATACCAATTCGTTCGTTGCATTCAGGGGGCTCTTAATGCTGCTCTTGTGGAGGCTATCAAGCCTCATGTGCCAGTACTACGGAGTCACCCATATGGAAAGAAAGTCATCTTGTCGAGCAGCAACCTGAAGAAGTGACATTGTGCACGATTCATTTTGTCAAGATCTTTCCAACCTTGTAACTTACGTATCATTTATGCGCTCAAGAGAGTTTTGAAGAAAATTTTCGCTGAAGAAAGTAGAATGCATGTCGATAGAGAAAGAAGAAAAATATGTACATCTTTGTATAATAAAGGATATTGAGGAAAAGTGGAGTCTGTCTCTGTGTCGTGTATTGCCAATCACTGGTATCTATGTTTTGGTCCTTGGGTTAAAATCCCTTTTGTATACATGTCTTTTGCTAATGCCTTTAGGGCTTCCCTTCTGTGAACATGGAAAACTTACTATTAAATATGAAGTATGTTTAGATTACTTTGTCCCCTTTGCAAAGAGTATTAGATTCATGCTATGCATATTGTTTCGATAATTGCCTGTTTTCTTTATTTAGCTCTAATTGATTACCATGAGCAGAAAATATGTCCTATTTATCAATGCTTGGACAATCATCTGCGGGCAAATTACTATAAAATTTCATGTTAATTTGCAGATTGACTGTTATCCACAGTCATCTTCTAAATGAAATGGTAAGAAAAAAGGCTTATTATTTACTAAAGTTACTATCTACGTTTTTACAGATTTAAAGTTATCCTGGCTTTAAGCTTTTCTCTCATAACTACTTTTTGTGCAGACTTAAAATATGGCGACTTATCAAACTGATGTGTGGTCTCCATTTCAAAGTGTGCTCAACTCAGCAATGAAGCGAAGAGTAGCAGCCACAAGTGCAAGTCCCCTGTGATCCAAAATCTCTCTTCCAACCTCTCCTTCCTTTTCCCAAAATGGGTCTTTTCTCTTCAACTCTAGAACGCTGAAAAAAGGGAAGAAATTGGAACGACAGCAGCCATGTCAATAGCTGCAATCACGAACCCATCTCTATGCTCATGTCCTCCTCTCCCAAGAATACAATCCATCACCAAGCAAAACCATTCACTTATAAGCTTCTCATCTAAAGGCTCTTTAGCTTTTGTTTCGACTATTCAGTTGTCGAAGAGGTGGGAATTTGTAGCCAGAGCATCTTCGGCTACTGAGTCTGAGTCATCGAAATCAGAAGGTGAAGGAGGAGGAGGAGGAGAAGAGGTGAAGTTTGAGGAGTATGAGGTGGAAATAGAGAAGCCTTATGGATTGAAGTTTGCAAAGGGAAGAGATGGAAGCACTTACATTGATGCAATTTTGCCTGGAGGAGCAGCTGATGAGGCCGGGGTTTTCAGCGTCGGAGATAAAGTAATTGCTACCAGGTTTGATTGGAAATGATTATTGTTATTATTATTATTATTCCGTTTTTCTAGTTTATGGTCTTCCAAAGTTCTCACTGTAACAATTTTTGCTGGGATTATTATTATTATTCCGTTTTTCTAGTTTATGGTCTTCCAAAGTTCTCACTGTAACAATTTTTGCTGGGTTTTTTCTTCTTCAATTTTTTGTCTAGTATATGGTCTTCCAAAGTTCTCACTGTAACAATTTTTGCTGGGTTTTTTCTTCTTCAATTTTTTGTCTAGTACTTCTTTCATGTAATCTGCAATGAGTTACAGAGAATTTTTACATTGCAGTCAATAAGAGCTATAATTTTATTGCCCTCTCTCTGCCAATTTCATTGAGACTTCACTTAACATTTGGTTAGTTTGAAAGTTTACAAGCTACTCAAATATTCATTGTGAACTACTTTCATATTTCATCATGACCAACTTAAAAGAGGCACAAATTGTTTGATGGAATTTTTTCTTATTATCAAAATGGATCTAAAACATCCTTCTGTACCCATACTGAATTTTTTTAATCTCCAACTTCGACGTTCAACTTTATCCAATTGACAGAAACACTTTCCATATAAAGATTGAATAATCTTGAACCTTAACTCTGGTTCCGTTATTGTAGACTCTAAGTCATTACTTCCTAGGATTAAGCCACATCAGACGATCAAGGCATCCTGATAAGCGGAAACATTTGACTTGAGAAATTTTCTGAAATAGACAAATAGCATCTCCTCTTTGTCGGACAATTTGAATTTCCTTTCTTCGTAAACATTTGAGGTCTTCGTCTCAATTTCTTGTTTCCTATGGCTTTAATAGTTACAAAATTCTCAATTTCCCACGCTCAATTCAATAACTAAGCTTTTTTGCTCTCATGCAGTGCTGTGTTTGGGACAGAGATATGGCCAGCTGCGGAGTATGGAAGGACCATGTATACTATCCGGCAAAGGATAGGACCCTTGCTCATGAAAATGCAAAGGAGATTTGGTTAGTTTTCAGATGTATTTTATCTGCACTGACTTAACAAAGGTTTAAAAAAATATGCTGATATTTTAGTTCTCCATGATTTTGCATTTATCGTGTTGCTTTATTGAAACTGGTAGGAGCCCCGATTGATTCTGGTGAGCTCACTGAGAAGGAGATTATAAGAGCTGAAAGAAACTCTGGTGTCATCAGTAACAGGGTGCGGGAAATCCAGGTATTTCAGATGGCTCGTTTCCTCTACCTGTCTTAAATGCATTCTCTCTTTGAAACATTCTTATTCAAAGATAATGGCAAACTTTTTCCGATTTTTTTTTTTTTATCTGTAATCAGTGCAGACAGTTCAGTATTTCTTTTGTTATATAAACAAGCGTGCATGTTAGTATGCACTTGTATGTGTGGAGAATGCTAACTATTCACCTGCAAAAGCTCATTAATTTTGTCGAAAAGTTACTGAATAGCGATATTTTGGCACTTAGCATTCATGACAAGAGGTATTGCCCTAAATTGATATCAGATGCAAAATTACATGAGAAAAATGGGACAGAAGCAGCAAAGGGCAAATGATCTCCGTGAGGGACTGCAGCTTTACAAGTAATTTCAGCAAACCTTATCTACTGATAAATCTGAATAACAAGTTCACGTGACCTTTCTACATATTATCCTGCTTACTATTTATCATTTGTTGGCAATAGGAGCGGGAAATATGAGGAAGCACTGGAGAAGTTTGAATCGGTACTGGGATCAAAACCAGAAGCAAATGAAGCATCAGTTGCAAGTTACAATGTTGCATGCTGCTATTCGAAACTTGATCAGGTACCCAAGTAACAGTATGTTTATTCTATAGGATTAATTGTCGATATACCTCTGCCTAAATTTTGTTCTTAGCACTTAGATCCTAATGTCCAAACAGAGTTATCTTCCCATTATCTACATTCGCCATGTGGATGTCACGTGATGTCAAAATGTTGCGGAGATATTTTCTGATATTTCTGTGTGCTGCAGAGAGACCCGGTGCTCTCTTATAGCCTTATAGGCGTCAAACATGCACCGTTTTACTCTAGATAAAAATAAAAGAGACGGGGAGAGAGAGAGAGAGTTCTGTTTGGACACTAAGTAATCTAAATAGCAATAATTTTTTTAGCGATAATAAGTGGATAAAACCCACTATAACATAGAAGTCTGACCTCAGTTATCCCCATTTTATGACTTAATCCCGCAATTTAATTGTCCATGAGACTTCAAAGCTAGCAAGAGTCAACAAGTTTTTTGGCTTCCTTTCACAGGTACAAGCAGGTCTTTCTGCACTTGAAGATGCCATGCAAGCAGGATATGAAGATTTTAAGGTAAAATTGAGTCTTATTCACTTCCTCTAGCTTCAGTCCTTTTTTTTTCCGTATTGAACCTCAGCGATTTTTTATCTTTGTTTTCTGTTGCAGACCCTTCGTAGTGACCCTGACCTTGCTAACCTAAGAGCTTCTGAAGAATTTGAGCCTCTCATTAAGAAGTATGATGAATCATTCATTAACGAGAATGCTATCAATGCCATCAAATCTCTCTTCGGTATATTTAACAAGGATTAAGAGCAAAGGCTTGCTTCATGACAGAAGAAACAAAAACTAGTGATTGCATGCGAACTTGAGGTTTTTTGCGGCCATCGTCGACGAAGTTTCTGCGCTTACCAGGAGCTTTTCTCCAGAGCATTTGGCTGTGAAGTTTTCTACAGTGCCCTCTTTTTAACTCATTTTCCTGTGTGTTAATCGTAGAGTGGAAGAGGATTACATCTTCATAGTCATAGTGCTTATGAGAATCTTGTGTATCTGAGCTCGGTATATATATTCCCCAAATGTACACAGTATCTCCATTCTTTCAAGAGATATACTATAACTATTTTTCTCGACACCAACTTGAGTGCTTATTTGGATTTAAAGATTGTTTCCCTGAGGGTCTTTCAAAAAAAAAATCATTTGCAAAAACACATGCTTGCTTTGTTTGAGGGAAAACTTTGTCCACGTTATTGTTATATGAGACAACAATTTCATGTGGCAGACGGAAGCATAATTATTATTATTTTTTAAAGACCACTTTGTGGAAAACGCACACACTACAGAAAATGGTGAGTGCTATCTTTCGTAGAAACTGTGTTGTGCTAAATTGAGACACCATCATCCTTGAAAGTGAGCATCATATCTAGGTCCACAAAAGTATCACTGAAGACTGAAGACAGTAGAAATACAAACCAATGTCATTCAAAAGAGAACCAAACCCAATAGTAAGAAATGTGTGCAAACGGAAGGGAATAGTGCAAGATACCGCTTCAGGAAAAGGAATGACCCTGGACTACCTTCATCCAACCAAATAAAAAGAGTTTGAAAAGGGAAAATTATTAACAAAAGAATAATGATACATCACTGCATTGCTTTGTGATCAAGGCACATTAATTCTTATGTTTCCCTTTTAAATCACTCATTTGGTTTCTTCCTGGATCTACTCATTCAAAGGGATCCTCTCTCCACTTCCGTCTAGCTGATAAGAGGGATTACAGTCTCAAATCATGCAATAATATCTAATAATTGTGATCTTCGCTAACACCATAGCTCCTTTCTGAATAGCACTCATTTCTGTTCTTCACCCAATATAAAGTCATAATCATAAATAAGCAGTGAATTTACTTACCTAGTGGGAAGAAAATACTAATCCATTCAGAAAGAAGAATGTAAGCTTCAGTTAAAGTGATTATGATATCTTAAGCAAGCTGAGAAAAAAGATAAGCGCGCTGCAGCCAGTACTGCCATTTTCAGCAAAACAAATATCAGATGTTAAACTCTAGCTAAATGAAACTGCAATCAACTGCAAAAATGGAGCTAAACTCAAAAAGAAATAAATGTTACTATGATTGCATTTTATGCGGTAGCAGGCTGAATGGCACCAACCTACCCATAACTCTGAACTCACCCTTCAGTATATCTCCATTATATGACTCAGAAATGGAACCCCTATCAGTTGTCAGAAAATTAGAGTTCAATCATAAATGCAGAAAATATCCTGCTCATAATATTACATAGACCAAGCGTAAATCAACCAAACATTTATTAATTTCGCATCGGGGCAAGGCGGATTTTGTATAATTATGCTTCCCAGCCTCGGAGGAGAGTTGCTCTGGCAACTCGGTTGACTCCAAGAGTGAAGGCTCCCATTCGGAGGTCACAGTTGTGGGTCTTGCACATCTCCTTCACATGTTTGAAGCCTTTGGTCATGTAAGTCTTCAGCTCAGAGTTGACCTTCTCTTCATCCCACATGAATCCTTGGATGTTCTGTACTTGTGAATCTTGCTAATTATTAGTAAACGAAGGGAGAAAGGTATTTTGGTAGGTTTAGCATCATTAACATTTATATGTAAATTTTTTAGGTTGGAGATTATTTTTAACTAAAATACGAAATAAGGAAACTTATTATCTGTCAAAAAGCCATTCTATATGAACTTTTTTTTAATCTTTTTAATAGATATTCTATAACGAAGATGAGTACCGCAAAGGTTCAGTACGCATAAACTGTTGAAGGGCACATCCATATACTATGATGAGCAATCTGCACCTGAGTTTGAAATGTCAAGATAGATCTACAACTGCTTTTAGAGATGCATGGAAGCAGAAAATTATATAGATTTCATGATTACTTCTCTTCTAATGCAACTACTTTACTATACTTTATTTCCATAGAATAGTAGGAAATCTGTATTATTAGTTTAAAGCACAATAGTTTTTCAGTTATGTTTCTCATCAGCACAAGCATTTGATTACAACTTTCATGGAAATTTATATTAAAACATTTGCAGTGTTGTCAATATCTCAGGTCTAGTAAAGGAGGAACAATTAAAAAAAAACTAGTGATGGAAGTGCAGGAGAGAAGCACATCAATTTGATATTCAATGTAGAACAGGGATAAGTGATCAGCAAATATAATCTCCACAAAGTAAAATTCTGGGAAACAAAATTCTAGTGAATGTGAAAGTGATACATCAGATTGCTTTAAGTTGCTTTAAGCCTTCATTATAATACACAGAGATGATGCTAGTCAAGTAGTAGTTTACCTGAACCCACTCAAAATAACTGACAGTAACTCCGCCTGAATTTGCAAGTATGTCTGGCAGAATACATACTCCTTTTTTTGATAGAATCTGGAAAGGGAAAGGAGAAAACATAGGGATTTTCAATGGCTGGTTCCAAAACACTTCATCCTACTTAATACTATGAAACCTCTAAGTCACTTACCTCATCAGCCTCTGGGTCTGTTGGATGGTTAGCTGCCTCAATTATGAACTTGGCCCTAACGTCATTTGCATTTTCCCTGTAGATTTTTGTTTATATAAGTAAGTTCCACTTCACCCCGAAAATATTTTTTTTAAAAGGCACCATTGATAATCTAGGCACTTAAGCATTGAAAAATTCACACTAATTTGAATAATTATGAAA